TATACTTAATTATATTTTAATCTATATAAAACAAAGAAGACTTAATACTGATTGCTGTATAGTTCGCTTGCGGACTTAAACCACGGAGTTTGTTTTGTTGTTTTGTAGTGATTCAGTTATAATTCTGACCACGTAAATTGAATATTTGTTTATTATAAGGGAAAAGTTCTTTATCTAAAGTAAGACACTTCCTCAATTAGAGCATATCAGTTCCATTTATGCCATTAACTGAGTGTTTTTTTATAAGTAATTTGAAGATCACGGGTGTTAAGCGTATGGTTATGATTTATCTGGCGAAACGCGTCTTCTTAGTGTACACTGTAGGTTATTTTTTTTATAGTGTTACGAGTGCTATATTTTACGTAAAATGTTAATTGTATTTAACGAAGAAACAGGCAACTTAGGCTTTCACGGGCGTCAACAGCAGTCACATTTGCTCATGACCTGTAATTCCCCTGAAGTTCAATAACAGTTCTGCTGATCATAGTGCTCTTCAGGAACGTAACGAGAGAGTGCTGCATTTATATCACAGGTGTTCACGAACCTGGCCAGACGACAGCACAGAAACTGGGACCATGAAGTCTGAGTGAATGTCAAGGTCATTTAATGGTAGGGGAAACGAGGAGAGAACATGTTATGTCTAGGCACCAGAATACAGGGCAAAATGAATAGAGCAAACGCTTCGAAAATTCGTCGAAGTTCAAATAATTCAGAACGACAGTAACGAATCGTATTACGTTTACGAACAAGTGACGATCAGATTCAAATTGGGAAATGCTACCATTCAGAAGAGATCTATCTTCTGGTATATAACTCTTCATAACCACCTCTGCGAAAACCCCAAATCCTACATGCTACCTACCATTCGGTTAGGAATCTTACGTCTTTCTGTCTCATATATAAAAAAAAACATGAGATTTGGGGAAGAAATAATCGTCTATTTTCTTTTGATACGAAACGGACCACACAGAAAACGATGCGGCCATCAATTCTACTGTTGCGTGTGTATTCGTTGCCCCCGGTTACAATTTTACCGAGCCGTTGCCTAGAAACCATAGGGAGATTTTTACCGAGTCGTTGTCCAGCAACAGTAAGGGGATACACACATAGATACACAGACTGATGGGAGGGATTTATCAAGTATGCCGTTGACATGGGCTCAGGTGCCATGATATCCCATACCAATTTTCATACAGATTGGTTCAACCATTCAAAAGTTGAAAAGGCGGGCACTCAAACACACACAACATGGAGATATCATAAGCCTATTTTCATTCTTCAAAGTAAGGAAAGTAGGCTAACGAGGAATTGCGGAGAGAAATAATCTTCTACTTTCCTTTGATACGACCCGCACCTCATACGAGTACAATGCGACGTATCCAAAAATTCTTCAGTGCCGCAGTAACGTATTTACCTAGTTGTTGCCTAGCTACGGTAAGGGGATACACAGACAGACGCGTCCAACAGTTCTTCTATTGTTGCATGTATTTGTTGCCGCGGGAACGTGTTTACCGAGCCTTTGCCTAGCAACGATAGAGGTGATATACGCGTACAGACAGGCTGACGGGAGGGCTTTATGAAGCCCAAGATTCATACAGACAGTTTCTGTAATTCAAAAGTTAATGGGGGGAGGATTAACACACAGACAGCATGGACATCACATAAGCCTACTTTCATCTTTTCAAAATAAGGAAAGTAGATATATGATATAAACTCCGTCCTAAGTGCAACAGTTTATTGTGGGTCTTTCGTCTTGCTTTCTTTTACACTACGTGTTTCGGCCGCAAACGGCCATCATCAGGTGTATACACTCACGCAGCTGTTACACTGCACTTAGTTTAAAATTTAAAACACAGGTCTTCCCAATTGTTCCCTTCGTCGTTGCTAACAGAATCTACTTCGCTGATATTTGTCTGATTCGTACATTATCTTTGTTACCTACACACGTCAATTTTGACTTTCATGAACTGGCACTTTTAAATCTTCAGTTTAAAAATTTTTAAATTTAAAATTCTCAGGGTTGCTCTCCCTATGTCTATCGTGCTGCAGCGGCTACTTCTTGTTTTCAGCACTGTACAGGTGTTATTCTGTGTAGGCTCCCTGTGTTTGCGGCCGAAACATGTAGTGTAAAAAAAGCAAGACGAAAGACCTACACTAATTGTTGAACTTAGGACGGAGTTTATATCATATATGGTATACAGTGCAACAGGATGCTTAAATATAATAAGGAAAGTAGGCTAGAAAAGAAGAAATTTTTAAAATTTATACAAAACTATAAAATTAACTTTCATTCTGAGAGGAGAACATAGACTTGAGGATATCTGAGAACAAAGTCCTGAGGAGAATATTTGGACCTACGTCTGTGGGAGTTGTAGGAGCATGGCGAAAATGCTATGATGATGTCTTCATAATTCTAAACGAAAAATCATTTAGGCGATAAAATCCAGGAAGAAGAGGGCAGGACATATAGCGCGCATGGGAGAGATGAGGAAATTTCTTGATCCAGGTGAGCGATTCAACTTCTATGAACAATTCGGCTCAATGGAATTGGGCAGCGTGTGACTACCGCTACACTGTTCTCTTAAGGAGCTTTCGGGAACGGTACGCAGTAACTTCCACACTTCCGCACTTCGTACCTCATACTTTACTCATTATAGACAGAATGCAGCTGATCTCCTGCCCCAACCTCATAAACTGCAACTACTGACCAAGAATCACAGGTAGCATTTGTGAATAACTGCACTGAGTCGCTCCCACACACTCACTCATGGAGCTGAACCATTCTTGAGGAGCTATCAATTCTACAGCTGCTCAAGAACTTCCCAGCATTTTATGGTACCCGAAGGTTCATTACCGTGTTCACAAGAGCCCTCCACTAGTCCATATCCTGAGCCAGATCAATCCAATTAATACCATCCCATCCTATCTCTCTAAGATCCACTTTTAATATTGTACACCCACCTACGTCTTGGTCTTCCTAATCGTCTCTTTCCTTCTGGCTTTCCCACCAATATCCCATATGCATTCAGCTTCTGCCCCATTCGTGCTACATGTCCTGCCCACCTCATCCTCTTTGACTTGATCATTCGACGTCTTTCAATAAACTTCCGTGAGTTGTACGGCTGGGGCTCGAGTCCCGTCCTGGACATGGCTTTTTCTTTTGTCGACCTCTACGTTCAAACCAAGTCCGAGATCCGTCCAACCGGGGACTCTTTCCGTTGGATAAGGTGACCACTTAACTCCATTTAGGGCCGAGGTTAGAAATTAATACAGTTTAACTCCGTTTGCTCTTTGGTATTCATGGAGTTCTACTTAAGAACAGGTACAATTGTTCCTCTTTATTTTTACTTCGCTGGTATTATGGGTGTAAACGGCTCGCGTAACGTGGAATTCATTCGCTTCATAATACTTATCCACTGTTTTCTCTTGAAAAACGCCCTTCAGAGGGGTACCACAGCCAAATTGTTCAAAGTGAATGAATTCACTGAAGAACTCATCTTCCATTTTATTGGGTTTACGTAATTAAAGCCATGCTTGCTCATAAAACAATTATGATTTCGTATTATTTAGAAAGCAATGAAAACCCATCCGAAATCATAAAGGTAAGGTAAGGCAAAGTTGTCCCTGTGCTTAACTACTTAAGCTCTACACCATGAAGGCGTATGGGGTAATGGCTGTATAGATTCACAATTTCTTGACCTCGGCAATGGCTAGAGATGAGTGGTCAGCTTCACGCCCCGGCCGCTTTACCACTGGGGAAACAGCCCCCGGTACCCATTGGATAGGAGGTTGGGTGGACCCCAGAGCCGGTCTGGACGACTTGGAGAAGAGAAAATTCTTGACCTTACTGGGACTCGAACTCCGACCTCTCGATCGTCCATACATGTATTAAGTTCTTAGCCTCCTTCCCTTTCTTGAGTAGGCTTATGAGATCACCATGCTTCTGTGCATCTGAGTCTTTGTGTTTCCCTTTTAGATTCTGAACCAGTTGACAGATTTTCGTGAAACTTCATGTAGACGTCATACAATTGAATGCCATCCCAACGCCTACTTCCTAATTCTCTACAGCTAGTAATAACAAAATAGTGAGCGCGAACTCTTGAAGTGGTATAATATGATACTTGATATGATATGATTTATGAGAATAGCCTGTAAACAAATTTGCAACCTAATAATCTGTAGGCGCACTGTTCACTTTGTATTCTTTTTTTTTTTTTGTCGATTAAATTAAAGAATGTTCCAATGATAGGAATTTGTGAATGTGGATATGAACATTCGACCGCCTCTGTGGTCTAGTGGTCAGAGATCCTGGCTACAGATCCAGACGTCGGGTTTCGTTTCCCGGCGCTACCAGATTATCTGACAAGCAGTGGGTCTGGAACGGGGTCCACTCAGCCTCGTAAGGATAATTGAGGAGCTATTTCAAGGAAATAGCGGCCCCGGTCTAGAAAACCGAGATTAACGGCCGTGGGAATCCGTTGCGCTGACCACGCGGCACCCTCTACCCGCAAAAGTTGGCACTAATTTCGTCGACAAGCAGAGGTCGCTCGGTCGGTATTGTTTGCTTGCGGACTACAAGTCACGGAGTTTGTTTGTTTGTTGCTTTTTTGGAAATGAGCATTTAGGATAAATAAGGCAGTGGCATTCTGACATCAGAGAAACATTGAACGCTGCAAACATAGTTGAAGAGGTACAACGATATCAGTAAAATAAGAAAAATAATTTGGAAAGAATAGAAAGAGATCTCCTTTCACAAGAGGCATTTTGTTATTGATCAGGCGAATGAAGGCACTTTATCAAAATGACAAGGAAGAGACTAAGACCATGTTCGGCTGTACAGGAACAGGTCTTGAAGACGTAACTATACACCATTTATGATAATCATTACGATGATAAAGCAGTGAATTTCTTGACCAACTGATTGGCTATGAGTCGCTGAAGGGAAACCTCCCAGCATGCAATTCTCCGAACTGTTACCAACACATAACTTGAGAACTTACCAGTCTTATATGCTGTCCTGGAAATGGGTATGAAATCCTTCAGATAATTCCATAGATATGAACAGCAGTGCACACTCTTATCATGTCTCCTTAAATCCTCGAGATGTTTCGCTACAGGTTTTCTTCTTATTCTTGTAACCAAATTTAAGAGTTGTAAAAACTGACAGAGGAGTTGTACCTTCCTTCTCTGCCATATTTTTGTCAGAACACATGAAACATGCCACGAGGCCAAGGAACATCCACCAACGATCACTAATGTATCTTCTAACCTTCTAGAATACTTAAACTGTCATCACAAACCTTGTGGCAGAACAATATGATGTTGAAACTGATTAAAAACGTAAAATATTTGGACACATTTGTTTAACAAAAAAGAAAAGCTTTTATTTAATTGTTGTTAGCACATGAGTTATGTCTGTATATACACACCAACGAAATTGGAACACAGGATATGGACCCTCTGATTATTGCATGAGGGCCAGCACATCTGAATGTGCAGAAAGCAGTTTGTTACCATAAACTGGTAAGAGCACTGTTAACATCTGCCATCTCTACCCTGTTGTCCACTGAAAGACTCTTCATGATCCTACTGAGTGGATTTCAGTATTACACATCACTCTCACGAACACATACACTGTTGAAATTTCACAGATGCACATTTATCAGCTGGTGCGAACACTTAATCCTTGCAATTGGTCTTCAGCTTGTTGAGTCATGCTACGTGATTTAAAGCGATGTTCAAATTGAAATGCACAGTTGTCAGTCTTGCACAAAGCTTGGAAGTCTGACAAAAATTAGAAATCCTGAAACAAAGGAAATAATTAGTATGAAGCTGAGAAATAAAAAGTTGTATTTTATAGAAATATTTCATCTTCAATGGAATGGATACCCTCTTCAGAAAGAGAACATAATTTGTTTAGTAGCCCTTTCCACGCAGATTATTAGTTAAACAACCTTTCTGTTAATATATTTTCATGGTTACCTCAATTTTGGTGGTATTGATGAAAAAAGGGCCTAGACAAATTATGTAAGTGAAATTCACTAAACTTCCCAAAGAATTTTCGCTTTCAGATAAACATCTTGTTTATGTCCTAAATAGGTTAATTGTGATGGTTTAGAATGCAATAACATGTTAAGGAAGTATCATTAACACGAAGTTTAAACTGTATAAAGAATAAAGCTACTAGATCTGTTACTGAATAGCAAACATATCCTCCAAGTTTATCAGGGGAAACTGTTATTATGAACTGAAAGAATATTTTAAGGGGAGAGGGGTGTTGTTTACTGTTTCAGTAAACATGCAGTCATGTCTATCAGCATATACACATTATAGTGTTCCTAGTATTCCCTAATGTTATGTTCTGAAAACTCCATAACTTCAGTATGGCACATTAAAATTGAATGTAACAGTGAGTTGCTACAAATAAATTTTCACAGAACAGTAATAAATAAAATCTAAAAGAAATGTTGGGATAAACTAATGCGTGATTTTGAATCCCACAGCTCTCATGCCTATTTCTGCGCACTAGACACCAGGTCCAGACATTAGGATATCAAAGATTTCATTTCACGAGTTCTTTTTACTAACTAATTAATAAACAACTTGTTTCAGATATCAGTACTGCTGCAATATAAATGTTTGCCTCTTCGCCACAAAATCTTCCTTCTGAAAACGAATGTTATTGGAAAAACACGTTTTTCATGTTAAGACAAAGACTTCAGAGGGTGTGTGGTTGTCTGTAGGTCACCATTCTACATTCGGCCCATTGCCTAAAAGTTGATTACACAAATCTGAAATCCAAAATAACAGTTGCTTTTCCGTAATCGAAAGTGTGCTTTTAACGCCGAAAACTTATTTTGCAAGTGCGCTATTAATGTTCACATTTGCATTATTGAGATATACGCGATAAAGAACGAAAGAAATCTCTTATCAATTATTACCGAATATGGTTAAAGATAACCGAAGGGCAGAATAATTTACACTAATTAAACTGCTAACAGCCTCTTACAAATGTATTACAAACTTCTGTTATGTGATCCACGACAAACAATACAGACCATTCAGTATACGTATGCCAATGCGTTGCGCTTTGCGACAATTCCTCTTATTAACAACATAAAGAAATAGACACAAGATGCACTTTCGCTTCTCAGAAAGAGATACTGTATTTAGGGACTGTTTCACATGACCCAACTCCACCCGATGACGTAACACAAGCCATATATACCCAAATGAAAGTGTAAGTGAAATTGTATAACTTTTAGGTAACACTTAATTGACGTCTAAAAAATGTAGGCCTTCCACTTTCCCCAGCGGCTCATATCGTGCTGAAGAGAGACTGTATTCTTTGTGAACGAAAATAAACCAGACACTGGAACAGGTATATACACATTCCACTCCGCATGTGATAATCCAGCCAGTTTTCTTGTTATCTTTGCGACGGTTCAGCTAATACAACCACTGATACATTTTTAACGTAACTACTGGATCAGAAAGCACCTTTTCTGTAATGTCAATATTTTCTGCATTTTCATTGAATATAACCATTATCGTATAAGTTAAAACTGGGAGTACATTACAAAACAAAACATGAAGTTTCCAATCGCAAATTTCTAGAGTGTACTTTGTTTTGCGATGTGACCCCGTGTTGTCTGGTACAAGTTCACTGACGTTTCGGAGGAATTTATTGCCTCGATCTTCATGAACGTGGAGTATACCAAGCAACCAACACGATGTACACGTAGGCAACCTGTGTATTGATAGATCTTTGCTTGGCTTTTTCTTCTACCCTGAAGATGGAAGCAGTGAGTTCCGAAACGTCGGCAAACTTGGACCGGATTACACTGCATCACTCTTCATAGTCACGGCTGTGAGAACCTCAAATCCAACAAACTATAATAATTTTGGAATACACTGAAGCAGTCATTAGCTTTGCAACCTGCACGAATACATATCTGGTTTAATTTGTTACATAATTTTTCCGATCATTTGTTACGATTACGACTTCAACCTCTTTGTGCCGGCACTTCTCTTGTTAAATTGCAGAACATTAATGCCACAGTTTCGAGTCCGCGCGAAAGAACGTGTATATAACTAAACGCATCACAGTCGACGCAGGAAAATTAACAGAAGATAACAAAATGTTGTTTAAAATATCTTGAAATCAGCAGTCCACAAACATAACACGAAAGTAACATTGCATATACAATATTCGGCCTACCCAACTTGAGGGAACCCTTGCAGCCACTTCATCCCGTCACGCACTCCAAACGAACGCACTGTATAATGAGAACTTGCCTTCTTGCAGTTCACTCCACAAGGATGTAAAAGTATCAGAAATGTCCTTCAAGCCCAGTAACTTGGCAACAAGCAGTGATGGCTTGCTTAGATTCAACTGGGGAGACTTAGACATTCACTCGCTAGCTTATTCTTTGAATTCGTTTTTTCCACACATCACTTTTTTCACTTGTCATTTTTTTTCACCTCCTTCCTTTTTCTCTAACACTCAAGGTCGTAATTTTTATTTCCGTTCTCTTCCGTCTCTTACGCGTCTGCGCTTTCCGCCACTGGCTCTTACTAGCTCTTCTTTTTTCCTTTCTCACTTCTCCGCTTGTCTTCCCAAGTTTTGCCACATTGTTGTCTCTTCAATTTTATGTTTTTCTGCCAAACGACATAACTGTGTAGTTTAATCACTGTAAACAATTCGCTTGAACGTTACTTCACCTAGTTTCAAATTGTTGTCCTCACCTTTCTGCCTCGTAATATTTTCCCCCCTTTCGACTGTGCAGTATTGTATTTTAATTTCCCCCCCTTCAAATCCGAAACGCTGCTACGTAATACTTGTCCACCTCTTCGCTTGCTTGCTTTCACTACCATAGATATAAGGAAAATGGCAGAACCAAAGACCAGGAGAAGGGACACGGAGGAAGGGGAGAGGAGAAGTACTTTCACAATATACCAAGGCAAAATAGGGGAAATGTTCGGAGATAGGGGATAACAGAGGAAAGAGACAGAGAGAATTTGAAACACTGTTCAGAGTGAAAACATTGTTCACTCACCAAACCTGATGCATTATTATTTGTGAAGATTTATACCGACATTTTTAATTGTCTTAATATGCAGCCGGCAGACCTTTGATTTTTCCAGTCCTTCAAGTACTTTAAAATAGGCCACGATCCATTTCCACCTTCATTCATCATTCAGTATATATTCTCGTTCGCCACTACATGGCCGATGCAGATGAAAAAATAAACACACATTAAATGCCGTGAAACAGACAGGAGAACCACAAAGACCATAGAGGACTGCAAATTCGGAAAGTTTGTGTCTGGAAAACATGACTTTCCTTTCTTGTTTCGACTGTTCTGGTAGTGACTTTCAGGAATAGCTTTTCGTTGTTCAGAAACTTTTGAAAATTCTGGTTCAGAGAGGGGCCCCAGAAGGGGCAAATAACAGCGCAGTTGCATCTGTTTAATCAGCAGAAAGTGCGAACTCAGAAGTCCGTCAAGGTCAGCTCTAATGCTGTATTCATGAATATCAAATGACTATTATTATCGTGTATTCCCTAATGTTCATTATACATATAGTCACACATGACTGCCAGCAAAAAATAGTGTTTTATAGATGCACTGGGGATGATCAGATTGGGAGCTTCGGGCCGTCTTCGGCCTGTAGGATCTGCAAGTCAAAGTGGAGATTTACCAACAGCATTTAATATGAAGTGTTTACATAAATTTAGAAGAAAATTCATTGCTAAGATTGATCTTCTACAAGCAGTACAGTTTATTGCCGACAGTTGGCGAAGAGCAGATACCAAGACCATTCGTAACTACTTTGCTCACTGTGATTTTAAACGATCAAGACCTGGAGATGCCGAATAAGGCTGATAGTGAAAATTACATAGTATTGGAAATGTAACACGTCGAAAATTACGAAGAATTTTCATGCGCCGACAGCAGTCGTCAATATTATAATGAAAATGAAGTTTGTGAGGAAGCAATTGTTGAACAAGTTACAGTGAAATGTCAGAAGATATCAGAAGCTCAGGAAACCGATAAGGATGACACGATAGAGCGTGAACGAGTGACTAACCAGGATGCTAGGAAATTTATTGCTGTACTGTGACTGTATTTCATGCAGGAAGGCAATGAAGACAGTTCTATATATCTGCACTAGAAATCTGCACTGATTTTGTTCAGCTGCAGCAAGCAAGAGAACGCAGCAAAGCACACTCGATCAATTCCTCTGTCACTGTTGCAAGTATATGCATGTTTAATAGGTAAATGAATCAATTTTGTTTTTAGGGTAAATAGTGATTTGCATCAATTTTTTCAGCTAATCTAAAGTCAGTATTTTTGTTCCTCAATAAATGGAAAGATTATCTTTTGCCTCATGAACATATGCTTTTTTAACTCTTCACGTGCAACTGCGTATATTTTGGGCATTCGCTTAGCTGTGTCAAAGTAGTCTAGTTCTGATGTGTCCAAATTAACCGGAATCCACTCGAATTGTAAATTTTTCAGCCAACATCGACATTAAAGAACCTTAAGATCCACTCATTACGTGCAATCATATTGTTTGCACTGGGGGGGTAAAGGGCGGTCGGTGCGTAGCGCTAAGAACCTTACCGCCATCTATGAGACGATTGTTTAGAAAATGTGGGAACCTCAACATCTCACAGCCCTATGGGCCTCCACGGCCTGTTACAGGGATACCTTTACTTTTTTACTTTTTACCACTAGGAAGACCAAGATAGGTGGATGGATAATATTGAAAAGGATCTTAGAGAGATCAGATGGGGTGGTATGGACTCGAGTGATCTGCCTGAGGGCAGGGGCCAGTGGATGGCTCTTGTGAACACAGTAATGAATCTTCCGGTTCCATGAAATATTGGAAAGTTCTTGAATAGCTTCGTGACTGACCTTCTCAGAAGGGCTCAGCTTCACTTGTAATTAAAATTAATTACAAGGACTCGATCCAGGAAGGTTAAGATGGCTTGATGTTTAAGGACGGAGCGGGTAAGAAGCTCAATCCTTACGCATGATGATTATGGTGATTTCAATCACAGTCTTCTAACTGGCTGCTTTTCAAAAGACTTCCCTACTAAAGTTATGGAGGAACATTGTAACCTCTCTTATTTCATTACCGAGAGACTGCTAAGTGACCAGCAGGTCCGTAAATTACCACGATCCTAATTATGTAATATCTCAAACTACCCAATTATTTAATCCCTCTTAGGTACAAATATTTTGTCAATATTTTGCTTTCACTCAGTTGAAATTTCTATTCCTCTCTCAAGGCAAGAGACAGGAAAGCCATATGAAACAAAGAGTAATTATTTTTTTAGCATTTTGTAAAGCTGAATTTGTGATAAAATATTGTATTTGAGCGTCGTGTTTTGTTATCATTTAATGCGTATAGATCTGTATGTCCACCGTCTCACACAGCTTTGTAAACAGTTATTTCATTTTATTTGGAGAGGAACTGTTTTCATAGCTACGTATTTCGACCTTAAAAATCATCCTTATGTTACAATAAACAAAATTACTCTTATCTGCAGTAAATGGACAGGAAGATAAATGGATGTAAAATTATAAATATGGATTATCAAAACTGTGGTATAGTTTCCTCTTTTTAGAACTTAACAGTTGGAGAATTTGAAGGTGAGAAACTTTATATGAGAGGTGAAGACGCGAGCATCTTCTGGTTCCCGTGGCATCCAAGGCTGCAGATATGCACCGCTGAACGTACACTCAAGCATGAAAATTGCATATAATTCAAATCTGCTTCTATTTCTGCATAAACTTTTGGTTTGATTTCAGAGTTTTATATTTGTATATCGAACATTTGTTACTTTAATTTGTAGTCCTACGTGAAGGTACTTGTACGAGGGCAACTTAATAGAATCCAGGATCGACAATGTATTCTTGAAGAACACTAAGTGAACTTATTCAGCTTACAGTAACTGATCATTTCGACCAGAGATTTTAACTAACTAAGCTATCACTGTAACATGACATGGAGGCATAGAGGGCTGTGAGACGTCGAAGCTTCCAGGTCAGCATTACGTGCTGGCAGCCTTTAATCCCCAGGAAGATTCCTGGTACTCATTTCTGTTAGATGCTGGGTCGATCCCAGAGGCATAGTGCGGCTGGAAGGATTAGGTAAATTGAAAAATCCAGTGACCTCATCGGCAATCGAATTTTTCTTTACTTCCCAGTATAAATGAATGTGATTTTTATAGATATAATTAGGCCACTGATATTTGTAACTGGCGTTTGGTATATCTTCTTTGAGGTGGAACCGAATTTTTAAATGTCACTTAGGTAAAAAAGTAGCAGGCCCTGGAGGCCCGTATGTTTGTGAGACGTCAAGGCTTCCACATTCTCTAGACAATCGGCTTACAGATGGCGGTAAGGTTGTCAGCCTTACGCCCCAGCCGCCCTTTACCACCAGGAAGATTCTTGGTATTCATTTCTGTTAGAGGCTGAGTCGACCCCAGGGCCATAGTGCGGCTGGAAGGATTAGGTAATTCGAAAAAAAAAAAAATCCACGTCATCCGGACTCGAACCCACGACCTTTCTGCTTGTAACATAGTGCCTCAACCAACTACGCTACCGCGTGTCCCAAATATCACTTGGAGATGAACATTTTATGTCACGTGTGATTCCAGCAGTTCATGACCAGGATCCTATGAATTGGTTGAAAAGTGAAGAGTTTTTATGGGAAACACACCGTGTGTATGGTTTGTTATTTGTAACACAGATCTCACTTTAATCAGCCATTCGTGCTTTGAAAGATTAGAAATATCACGCTTAAATATTTAGCACATTCTGAGCGGAGTATTAATAGGCAAAGAGACAATGTCACAGGGAAGTGAGTTAGCAAGTAGCCGCTAAAACTCAGCGAGAAAAAGTGTTATTCATCGTCGGCCTTCCGATCCTCCTTCAAGCAAATGATTCCAGAAGTGTCTAATAGAACCCGCTCTTCTGTATGCCGTGGGAATCACTACGTTCTGCCATAAAATAATTATTAATTTATTGATATAACGCTCTCAAACATGAAATTTACATATAATCTCAAATCTGTGTAAGATTTGAGGTTTTCACGGCGGTGACTATGAAGAAAGCAGTCTTCTCGGATGTGGCACCGTGTAGATGTGGTGTTAACCGACGTTTCGGAGGAACGTATCGCCTCCATCTTCAGGGTAGAAGGAAAACTAATAAATCCGCAAGCGAAGAGACCGTGAGAACCGGCACAAGCAGGCGATATGTTCCTCCTAAACGTCGGTTAACATCACATCTACACGGTGCCTCAATCTCAAATCTGGTTATATTTCTGCATAAACTTTTGGCTTACCCGTACAATTGCCTATCTGCATGTCGAACGTTTGTTTGCATAACGTGTAGACCTACACATACGCACTAAGATACTTGTACAAGGACAACTTAAGAGAATACGGCATTGACAATGTATTCTTAATCTTCTGTCAAGTGGACGCTTGGAGATCGACTGAAAGGTGGAAAGTTAACATCAAGGAAGCTTACTAACAATCTGTCGAAGGATTCAAAATATAAATTACAAGCAGAAGGTCAATTACGCCTGTCATAATATTCTTTACGCCTATAAAATAATCGCTTTAGAAGGCTGCATTATGTATAATCACTAATGAAGATAACGTAGTCGGTATAGCGACTAGCTACGGGCTGGATGACCAAGAGGTCAGAGTTCAAGT